GCAGTGCCCTCCAAAATCTAATCTTTCTGGGGGCCGGGACTATATCCCAGTCCAGGCAACCCCAATAAGTGCAAATTACCAAAATCCAGAGGTCTAAGAGTGAGAGGGAAAATTATGTCGGGCCAACTCTCCGCGCTACGACTCCAAGCATCAATTCTCGAGAAAGGTCCCCACTGCCCGGGCACTGGGAAGGAGTCTCAGGGCTGCTGGTTGTTCCCCACCCAGACCACCCGGCCCCATGCAGGGAGTATTTTGGCGCGGGAGAATGAGAAGGGCGGGACACGCCTGTGTCTCCGCAGTCACTCAGGGCTCGGGCTGCAGGGGGTCGCCCACGCGGGTCCTTGTTGCGCGCATCCAAGGGCACGCACCTCTGTGGCCAGGCATCCCCGCGCAAAAGCATTTTCATAGCTGCCAGAGCACACACACATGGTTGTTTTTTGCCTTTTTTTTTTCTTCCGTTACGAGCGATTTGGTAATGTCTATTCAAAGTTGCTGATCCAGAGACAAAATAGGAGTAGATAAAAGGAGATTTCAAGCGACCTCCTCGTCCCTTTCACACCAACCTGAGCCCCAGAATAGCCAAGGATCAACTCGGACAAAAGCCCTTTCCTTTTCCCTTTCAGCTTCAGAAGATTCAGTGGAAGGAGCTGACAATAAAACATATAGCTCTAGACCCATTTGATAGGATCAGGCAATTTTGTATACCTTCTAACGACGCTGTTGGATATGCCTGGGCTTCAGCCCTAGAAACGTGTGAATAATTATTTTAAAAAATCCTTGGTGTGGTAAAATAGATAGCAGTCATTTACAGCTTTTGTGTTCGGCTGGAGCGATTTACTGTGTTTATTCTATTGCGTTTAAACTTTATCTAAAGCACACCCCCGTCCTCCCCACGCAGACCGAATTACGCTATAATAAACATATCTTGCTCCTGACAGTTTCAATGGAAATGCTAAGGTTTACTACTCAGATCAACTTCTGATGAATAAATACAGTTGTAGAGCTGCTGCGTTTTCCCCAGCAAACATACTTTTGCACCTTTTTATCTCGGCTGCAGAGGAGAAAGTGACGTTAAATACTTAAACATCTTGGAGCCGGTCTCTGGTCTATGGAAAGTCCAGCTCAAATCTACTCCTGACGGACTAATCCCCGCAGTAAAATAAATGTGATCTCTGACAGGTAAGTATTAAGGAAATTTTTATATACTGTCATTGACAGTGTTGTCAGGACAATCTCACAACTTACAAACTCGTTTCCAAACGTCAGCTCTTCATCAAAATCTCCAGTCGAATTCGGAATCATAAAACCCATCAAATTTATTCCTCACAGAAACCGAAAGTTTAAAATACAGTCGGAGTTGTTTCAATGCAAAGCTTCGTGTTGGTGCGTTTTGTACCATTTTGTTTCACTTGGCTTCGGCGCTCAAACCACCGCAGATTTTTTTTTTTTTTTTGTCGAATGTAAATATTTGATCCTGGATTCACCAGTGTGTTGAAAATTATTCCCAGATTTGCCTTATACAGGAAGGTTTAATTTGCATCAAAAGGTCATTAATTTCTGTTCCTGGAGCTCTACTTGGGAATTGCTATGTTCCTTTGTGCTTTTAGACAAGTGGCCTTTGCTTTGGGTGCTTTCTTTCCCCTTCCCAAGCAGACATGGTTATTTTGTTGTGTGGTTTGTTGGTTAGGTTTGGGGGTTATTTAGTTTTGATTTTGGTTTGGTTTGGTTTTTATTTCCAGGCACAGATCTAATTTTTTTTCCTTTATTCATTTTCTTTTCTTTTTTCGTATTAGAAAAGAAGGCAGACTGTCGGGTGCTCAGGCGTTTCTGTTTGGAGGGATGGCGACCTCCTGCTTTCTGGTTGGCACCGGAGCATGTTACTTTTGAGTGCTAACAAATGACAAACACGGATCGGCGCGGCCCCGGTGCCGGGAAGGGTGCGGGGATGGCAGATTGCCTTCTCGAAGGCGGGGCAGGGGGAGCTGGGGGGGGCCGCTGTCACACCGCTTTTTTGCAAATCCCATCTAAAATAATTCCAGGGAAGCAGGAGGGGAAGGGCAGTTGCACCTCTGGGTTAAGCACACGCGGAGGGCGAGGAGTAGCAGACGCACAGCGGTGGGGTGAGACACACGATACCCTTCTCGTGGGTCGTGGGTCGTGAGACCCGCTGTGATGTGCAGCTGCTTCGGAAAACGCGGGGATGTCGGCTGTGACCCCAGGATGATGTTTCGCAGTGGAGGCAGGGGGAAGGAGTATGCTTCAAAGAGAGGTTTTGGGGTTTTTTTAAATAGATAAATAAAGCAGGCTATGCACGATGGGGTGGCCCAAGTATGTGCGGGATCGGGCTGGAGAGCTGAGCAGGGAAAGATGGAGGTCCTCTTTCCTATGGCAAGCCGCCTTTTTTGAGATGTACTGAAATGGCCTGGCTGAGGGGTTTGGGTGACAGTGACAGGGATACCTGGAGGGGAGGGAGAGATACCCACCCAGGACGCCAGGGGCAGGGTGGACATACCCTGGCATTGGGCTTATTTTGGAAAGCAGCAGGTTGGCACAAAGTGGCCCAGTGTGCATGTCCCACAGGACCTACTGGTAGGTGCTACAGGAGGCAGCGAGTGAGCAGCACAACACCCCGGAAGGAGCCAGTCCGACTTCTTGTCTGCACGGGATGATGCCACTCACCCCAGACTACCTCTCAGGGCAGAGGGCGACCATCCCCCCTCGAAAAGCACCATTTTCCACACACACATCGTGTGTTGCACTCCTCCAGAAACTTGGTTAATCCTTCAGGTCTGGCGGGGGGAGGTGGTAAAAGTGAGGAAAAAAGAAAGGGGAAAAAAAGGGCAAAAGGAAAAAAAGGCCTGGGAGGAAAAGCCCTAGCATCACTGATGGGAAATGAGGCTCGGCTGGGCACCACAGCTTATGGAGGCCTGGCACAGCACTGCTGTACCCAACCCAGCTGTGAGACCCTGGGGGGCAGCAGAGCTGGGACACGTGATTAAGGCTGGGGTGGTCTCATTGTGACTGTTCACATCCCCTTTACAAAAGGCCCGGCCTGGGAGAGGGGCCGCCCTGACGACTTCAACCATGGGATACGCGGGGACTGCGGGGAGCCCCAGTGTGACCCTCTGGTTTTCCAGCATTCTGGCTTGAAGATATCTACAGGTCAGAGCTGGGAACGACTAAAAAGGCTAAGAATTGGGAACAACAAGGACAATTTTTTACACGTCAGAGCTGTTCGCTGCACCCTGTGTAAGTCTGCACTTACTGTCCTCCATCTACCCCATTTCCTATGTGTGTGCATAAATATATACATATATATACACATGTATATGAGTACATCCGTATGTGTGTGAGTACATTTTTTAGTATATATGGTGCCTTGTGAAGCTTGACAGATGAAACAGGCACCTAATGTTTGTTTAGGAAAACACAGACTACGTATCTCAGCTCAAATTACATGCAGCCCGACCACTCACGAAATAATAATAATACCATCAATTGGGGTTTATATTATACACTAACACACACCCGACCCACCCCATTCCCCCCCCCCCCCCCCATCCCCCCCCCCCGCCTTCCTTCCCACCAGAAACAGCGTGTAAAAATTGTCACGACTAATCTCCAGAGGAACTTTTGCTTTCCGGAGGGGACAAGAGGACTGCAGAAAAGAGGGGAATCAGCTCTGTCCCGGGTTGGATTACACGAGGGAGGCGAGGGTGGAGAAGAGAGACACAGAAAGGGGGGAAAGAAAAAAAAAAAGAGGGGAAAAAAGAAAAAAGAAAAAAAAAAAAAAAAAAAAAAAAAAAAAAAAAAAAAAAAAAAAAAAAAAAAAAAAAAAAAAAAAAAAACAACAAGGAAAAAACGCCAACAACAACCACCAAAACCAGCTCCTGAATCCTGTCAAAACTCTACCACCTTCAGATCCCAGCGCGGACCCTGGCCTAGGGAAAGTAGTGTCTGGTGCTACAGGGAAAAATTAAGTCCCCAAGTCCCCAGCACCGTCTCCCTTACGCATTCCAGATCTGCAGAAGTTAAAAAGGAATCAAAGCTCATTTCCCAATTAAATGTGAGTTGTGGCCATTTCTAACTGTCCCAGTAATTTGTCGGGGAGAGGAAATGCCTCTTGTCGACTGAACTCTGCTTTAACCTAGTCAGCTGAGGTATGAGGCTAGTACTTTTACTGATGGATGCCCAGCGTCCCGGCTCCCCTCCCCAACAGGCTACTGCACAACCACAGGACGTCGCAGATGGGTTTTCCTCAGGACTCACACAAACTTCACCGGACCTTTACCCATCTGCTTTTTCTAAAACCCACTTTTAAAAATTGCTTTTCCTCCACACAGAACGAATGAAAACCACCAAGCGTTTCCAGTCAGGCGACAGGAGAAAATTCCTCCCCGCTGCGCAACTCCAGCTGCCCAGACCAGCGCAGTTTGAGGGTGTTTTGGGCCCCCTCCGGATTACAGTTGCGCCCAGCCTGGCTGCGAAATATCTGATTGCTGTCCCTGTAATCTGTTGACACTATTACCCAGATAAACAGGCCTCAATCGATCTTTTCATTAGGTGATCAAATAACAGAGCAGGTGAAAGAGAAGACCGATAGAATGCTTGCACTTCCCCACCCCGGCGCCCTGCCTCTGCTGCTGAAGCTAGGATGTGGGGTCGGTGCCTGCCTTACCCGCGTGGGTCACCTCAGCGAGACGCGCTCATTATCTGGCGAGGGGGCAGTGGAAATACCCACACATGTTTCTATAGGGGGAAAGGGGAAGGGAAGCGAAGGGAAGGGAAGGGAGGGGGGAGAGAAAATCTCGGACAAAATGAGTACTATGCGCCTCTCACTGCTCCCAAATAACAGGATGCCCAAATTGAATGAGGCCAGTGGGTGAGGCGGGGGGTAGCCTAGGGGTGGGGGAAGGTTGGGGAAGGTCTCCCCGCCAAGTGTCGCGGCCCCACACCCCTCCCTCCGCCCCGAAACCACGAGTAAGGGAGCGGCGACTTGCCTGGGGTGGCCCGGGGAGTCGGGGCCGTCGGCAGGGTGCCCGGTCCGGGAGGAGCCAGGCTGCGGCTGCTGGGTCCGTCCACCTTCTCTCAGGCTTTCTGCCTCTGTCTGTGTCTGTGTCTCTGTCTCTCTCTCTCTCTCTCTCCCCCCTCTCTCTCTCCGTGCCTTGCTCTGCCTCTTTTACTCTGCGCCTCTTCACAGCCTGGGAAGTAAAATCTAGATGATATACATACCAAGCTTGCTTTTTTTGTCCTATTTAATCTTATTCGTTTCACCTTTTCACTGACCAAAAGACAGGACCGAGAGTTTATTTGGAAAGAGAGAGAGAGAGGAAAGAAGCCTACTGTTGCATAGTCAATAACATCCTTTTTATCAATGCAATATACAACAGAGACGGCTTGGTCAAGGCACTCATTGAAAATCTCTTCATTATTTCGGGGCAAAATCAAGCGTTTATTCTGATCTCAGAAATGATGAAGGATTCTTCTCTCCAGGCGGCTCCCAGTCTCAGATTTCAGAGCTGACAGGGAAAGAAAGAAAATATCATGATCACTATACATCAAAGTTAGGGGCCTTTTTTTTCTCTTGACTCTTAATTAAGCAACATTACTTTACAAAAATAAATAATTACAATAAAACTTCTGTCATCTATTTCATCCCTTTTCTTCCTTCCGGCAGGTTTTTCATGCAGCTTCTAATCTGATTATAAACTTTAATGGGAGCTAGGAGCAGGGTAGGGTGTCCAGTAGGGCAGGCTGTGGGTGTTATTTTTTAAGGGCTTTTTTTGTTAGGGGGTTCAGTTTCTACAGTCTGTTTCTTCTTTTTCACATGAAGTCTTTCAACCTGATTTCAGACCTCTGGCAAAGGGAAGCTGCCAGGAAGGCAGGCTAGTGAGAGAGGTAGAAACCAGAAAGAAGGGGTTATTCTCTCCAGCGCAGTTTAATATTAAAAATTTAAAAAGCGAGAGAATTTTTTTTTTTTTTAAGAGGGAAGGGGGGGTGAAAGGCCGCGGACAGCCTCCGTGGCCCCCCCAGGGCTCCCTCGGCCCGACGGCTCGATGCCCACTAGATGGCAGCCGGCGTCAGCGATTCCTGCTCCGCCGGGGCCGAGGCCGCACCGGGCCGCGGAGGGGAGCGGAGAGAAAGGAAGGGGAGCGACACCCCAGCATCCCCCCCGCGCATCCCCCGTGCCCACGCGGCGTGACTCACTTTGGGAGATCAGGGGCTCTGGGGGGAGGGCATTGCGTGCTGGGCGTTTGGGGCTGTTCTGACCGCTCACACACCCCGAAAGTAAAATTAAAGGGGAGGGGATGAACACCCCCCCGGGGAAGCGCGGAGTCCTTCAGGGCTGCGGGTGGGCGTGTCAGGCGAGGAATGAGGGGTGAGGGAGAAGGGACAGGCGGCAAAAATAGCCCAAGGTGAGATGGGAGCACATATGGGGATGTGAATATGTGCGTGGACGCTCACGCACGTGTATGCAAGGGTGCGCCCACAAGCGCGCCGCTTCCTCCGTGCAGCGCGAGTGTTTTCTTCTCCATCATTAAACCCCCTGGACTGGCTTTTGCAATGGGAAAGCAGGAGAGAAATCCCGACTTCCGACATGGAGGTGAAAAAAAACCAAAAACCTCACACTAACTTTTCATGGGGAGCTCCTTTTAATTCCCCCTTTCTGCCTATCGCAATGCATCCTCCTCTGTTCATGTGTGTGCTGGGGGTGGGGGGGCGGGTAGAGGGACCGTAGACGACCCATACTAATCAGATCTCAAAGTAAATAGCAGCACAGGGAGATCTCAATGTAAATTGTGCTTGTCAGAAGAATCCCCGCTCCCTCTCCTTGCCCTCCCTCCCCCCCTCTCTCCTTCCCTCCCTTCCCCATCCCAGTCACTAGGTAGCGGAGAATTAAAAAAAAAAAAAAAAAAAAAAAAAGGGGGGGTGTGGAAAACCCGGGGTGGGGGGGTAACCAATGGAGTGAAAGAGGCTTGGCTAACCTTAGCCTCCCATTTTCTCTCCCCCCAATTCAGGGCTCTGACCAGTCAGTCGCCTTTGATTATCAGTTGCCAGCAGCCCTTCTCTTGGCTCCTTGACACGAGCTCCATATAAGGCAGCGATCTCCATAGAAACGTGTCAGTTTCAATAGTAGTGTCAAAGTTCACTATATACAGACATTCGCGCAGATCCCCCTTTCGGAAACATTGCTCTGCTAGGCTTCCCGTTTAAACGCATTCATTTTTTGGGTCTCTCTCTTTCTCTCTCTCTCTCTCTCTCTCTCCCCCTCTCTCTCTCCCTCTCTCCCCGTCTCTCCCCCCTTCCCCTTTCTTGCATATTCTATTAGTTTTTTGCCCCCCCTTCATCTCCCTCTTCTCCTTCCTTTTCTTCTTTTTTCCACCCTTCCTCCTTGTGCCTTTCGCTTCATTTCTGCAGGAGAAGAGAAGAAGACCAAACCAAACAACAACTAAAAAAAAAAAGAAAGAAAAAAAACTCGGAAAGAAAGAAAAAAGGGGGAAAAACAGAGAGGGAGAATTGGGGGGGAGGGGGAAAAGTCCGGAGAGAGAAAGAGAGAACGCATTCACATCTTAATACCGTTACTATTTTGACCATTCTTGCCTATTTTTTTTTTGTTTTGGGGGAGGGCTTCTCTTCTGGCTGATGAGTTTTTACCCGAAATACTTTTTTTAGGCAAACAAACAAACAAACAAACAAGAATCTTTTTGAGGGCAATTTCCACCGATTTTCTTTTTTTTTCTTCGCAACCGGCATCGTGCGCTCTCACTGGAGAAGAAGGAGGAAAGGGCAAGAAAGAGGAAGAGAAGAGGATTTATTTACCCGACCTACTTTGGATCTCTCTTTTTCCTGCAAGTGTCATTATTATTCCCGTTCTCTATTTTTACACTTCGCCGTGAATTCGTCTCCTCTGCGAATTTAGTCACATCCGATTTTTTCTGAGAATTTTTTTCTTTTTTTTTAAAAAAAAAAAAAAGCGAGAGAGAGCGCGAGCGAGCGAGAGAGACAGAGAGCGAGAGAGAGCAGCTCGGGAGAGAAAGAGCAGCGACCGGCAACCTCCTCCTTCTCCTCCTCCTTCTCCGCCGCCGCGACAGGAGATCAAACTGCCTCAGCACCCCGCCAGCCTCTGCCGCGCTCCCCAGCTCCGCCGCCCTGAATGGCTGACGGCGCCCTGCCCTGGACCTGGCCCCCGGACACCTCCATGCTCTGATCGCCGGCGGACGGCTCCTCTCTCCACCTCCCTCCTCCCCGAAAGCCCGCACCAGCACCGGCGGCAGTGGCGGCGGGAGCAGCCTCCGCGGGAGCGGCGGCGGCCGGGCCCCGGCGGCGGCGAGCGGCGAGCGGCGACCTCCTCCTTCTCTTCCTTCCCCTCCTCCTCCTCCTCCTCCACCTCCTCCTCCTTCTCCTCCTCCTCCTCCTCGGCGGCGCCGCGGCTTCCTCTATGCCTGCACATCCTCCGCGCTCTTAGCGCCCGGACCGCGTGTGTCTGTGCCCGTGCCCGTGCGTGTGTGCGAGTGCGCGAGTGGGGAGCCGTGTGCCGGGCGTGTGCGCGCGTGTCTGCCTGCGTGTGCGTGTCCGGCGTGTTACTCTCCTGAATGCCTCTCCCGACAGCCTTGTTTGCCGTTTCTGATTTTGCAACTTGAAGTGGCGGCGGGGGG